CTGGATAATAACTACAAATATACAGTTCTTCGTTTAGTTTTAAAAGGTTGTCGAACCCACAGGGGTTGATAATCAAACTAATGTTATCTATTGTCACTGTGCAAAGCTAAAGCTCATGGTTAAAACGTCAAGAACGGGAACAAAAATACTAATTACTAAAGGTTTGAAAACAATGAAGAAAGGAGTCCGAAATATGAATTCCGCGCCCTAAAGGACTTGTAGAATTATGGTGCTAATTACGAGCAAATCTAGTTTCATAGAAAATATCGACCTAAAGACTTTGTCTCACACTCTCGCGCTATTGATAAGAACCATGCTTCCTAACCACAGAATTTTACTCTCGCTCGCCCGTTTCAATTAAAAAGCGAGTTTTAAAAGTAAAAAAGATTCTAAATGATTCCTAAAGCGCTCTCGCTATTTTTAAGATCATTTCCTATTTTCCAGTATCCGGTTCATTCCTCAAACTCTCGCGCTATCAGCTTGAACCTTGGTTTATTTTTCACTCTCGTGACAAAACAACATATATCATGGAAAATGGAAACAACAACAACTAAAACAACACATAATCATAATTTTGCAACTAACATTTCTACTGAGTCCCGTCGGTAACAACGATCCTCATACGCCGAACTCAATTAATTTAACAAGACATAATTTTATCTACAACTAACATGTTCACAACAATTATACTTAGAACTAGCATGTTAAGCAAATTTAAAGTAATAAAAAGTACAAGTAAAAATCAGAAATAAACCTGAAAGTTAAATAACTGAAATTTTAATTAGAATGTCGGCAGGCTTCGTTTGCGATCCAAGAGTACAACAAATGGAATAAAAAAATAATAACAATTGTGACAATCCTTTGATGTGAGTTATTGTCGCTTTTACAAGTGATTTATGCCTAAACACTAAACGGAATTCATGCAGCACTTCCGCACGTCTTGGATGCCTCGAAAACTGCCCAGGAGGGTTTATGTATAGAGGAACAGGGTTTGGTAACTCCTCAGGTCGTGCAACATGATGGAGGGAAGAGCAGTTGAAAAACTGCTGAGAAACTGCCCACTAACGCAGAACTATCACCTACGAAATAATGGCGAACGCTATCTTGGGGCAATTGTGAACGCCATTGCCTCTTCACTAGTCTGACGTGGCAATGGCGACTGCCATCTAGGGGTGGCAAACGCCATATCAGCATAAATGGCAAATTATTCAATTTTTGCTGCTCTTTTTCTCTTTTAGCTCCTCTTTATGATTTTTCTCTCGAATCCTCCATGAGCGGGGCCGACAACTGCAAAACAACAAAAATGAAGTAAAAGTAACAAAACATAATAAAATACGGATGAAAACATGTACGCTATAGGCCTAAAAACATGATATGATTCCTCGCTATCAAACTCCCCCACACTTAATCGTTGCTTGCCCTCAAGAAATCTCTCAACTCGATGAAAACAGTAAGCACAACGTCAGAAGCATAGGCACTATATATACGATGCTAGTAGGATAATTCTAAACAGATAGGTACCAAACATCGATAACAATGACACCGTAATGACACACATAAACATTATGTGGACAAGAACTCCCCCTTATGCGATACCAATCCAAATCATGCTATTATAACTCGACTTACATTCTTCGTTCTCTTTCACCTCTTTTTCATTCTCGTGCAATCACATTAAGCTCGTTATCCCTGCACTCACATGGTAAGTGAACCTGTTAGTGTTTAATGATCTCAATATCTAATTTTCGCACTTTTCTTTTCGTAATACCCTAATTTTTACCCCTAAGATCCCACATGTCATTTGCATCTCATATCACAAACAAGATCCCAAGCTTTAGTACTCCTACCCTCCTCTATGAATATTGTTTCTGAGGGAGATCATCAAGTACCTTTGTGTTTCTTACTTGCTTTATGTTTGTTTATGTTTATCGACCTCTAACCAAAATATTAAAAATATTTTGCAATTTGCTTGTTTATTTTTCTCTGTGTGTTTAAGGTTTTGCAGGGAGGTTAATGGCAAGAGTCTGGCTTCAAGTCAAGTGTGATTGATCATTCTAATCAAGATCAGATGGAAGTTTGACCTATTTTTGGTCAAACCATCAGAGGATTGCTTGAATTGCAAATTGGTCGTGGTAGTGGTCCATTTCTCAAGCAGTGACTGTTCAAGGTCAAGTTATCTTGTTTTGAAATTCATCAGGTTTTCAAGCAGACAAAACATGAGAAGTTTGGTTAAAAATCAGAGATTCAGAGGATCATGGAAAAGTTCAAGTTGATTCAAGTGGCCATTGCTTCAATTACAAGTTATTTGGTGGTTCATCTATGGATTTATTTTCCTCAATGTTGATCCATAATTAGTTCAAAATCGATTCAAATGGTTGTTGCTTCAAGTGCAAGTAATTCACTGGTTCAAGAACACCTATGTTCATTTTTATCAAAGATGTGTGGAACACAGTGCAAGTTAATTTTGAATTGAAATCGAGAGTTCATAGTTGCGTGCGTATGGATGGAAACCAAATTTATAATACCAAATACATATCATCCAGTTTCAATACTTTTGTAATATCCATTTCATTATCCATTAAACCAATATCCATTCAATCCAAATTTTACTCCACTTCCATATCCATTATCATTATCAATCAAATCTACATTTTTTTTATCCATAAATCCAATTTTGTTCATGTTCATAACCAACTGTTTCCAATTTATATGTTTCTAACCATTTGTCCATTATTAAAGAAGCATTGTCCAAAAAACCAACATTCCCACTTGTAACGATATGCTTCATGAAATCAATTTTTCCAATTGGCAACCTCAAACGGAAAACTATTTACCTTTGGTAATGGAACATTTGGTGTTAAGGTTATTTGTGGAGTATGGCATACTGCAGCTATTGTTGAGGTTATTTTTTCAATCGGGTTCAAATGTTTCATCATGGAAACTCTTCACATGGGGATGATGATAAACATTGTTTAGGCCATGGAAACAAGGAAAACCATCTCCAACTGAAATGTGTTTCGCCTCTTCTTGAATATAATTTTCAGCAGATAACATGTGGACACACCAAGACTGTTGCAGTGAGGCAGAAAATGGACTTGGTGTTTTATACGCTGCAACTTGGTTTCTTTGACATGGATTTTGATCTAATTTCCAAAAGCATTGATAAAGCTAAAAGCTTGATTGAAGAAGTTGCTCATGCTGGAAAGAGGCTTTTGTCAAATGCGAGAGGAATTTTGGTTGTTCATAAAATAATTATATTCTGTCCCAGCAATTCTGATCCAGACCGTGTCCCACTAATATTTGAGCATGATCACAGGACTCCTGCAGGCTGCAGTGCTACGGATTGGCAATACAAGGAAGTTACCAGTTGAGCATTTTGATCCACAAAAATATAGCCCGGTTGAAGAAGCGACAGTTTTATCATTCTCACAAAGCTCAGGCAATGTCACTTTAAGAAGTTCTATCAAATTATGATAGTGAGGAAAAATTTGATGATGAAGTTGCCGATATTGAAGAGTGGAGGAAGCTTGATCTTCATCCATTGAACAAAGAAGAGAAGCAATTCATGTTTAGGTGGAACTCATTTATTCAGAAGCATCGTGTGCTGATAGATTCTCACATTCGTTGGGCATGGCTCTGAGATTGTCGAATCCCGTAAATTAACTTGGTATTGGAAGAGATGAGGGTGTTGGTGATGAAGAACTTGTTGCACCAGTTGTTTCACTTTGTCAATCTCAGAAGATCAACCACACATTGAAAGTGTAGCTCTTCACTACACTGTTTCTTGATATAAAAGCTTGGAGTTTATGTAATTACAGAATAAAGAAGAAGCTTCTATCATCATTCGCAGACATGGTATTCACCGAATCTGCAGTGATGAGAGATGCCAATGTCATTCAGATGCTTCTTGATAACTACAGAAGATGCTACTTGACTATTCCTAAAAAGGACTCAGTAGCTGGAGAAACAAGGCCAGTGGGTGAAGTCAACGCTTTGGTTGATTAGCTTTTGGTAGTGATTGAGCTTCTAATAGTAGCAACATCTCCTTCATTGGTCTCTGATGATGTCCGCTGTTTACTTGGGTTCTCGGTTGACTGTCCACAACATGGTCAGATTTTTAGGGTACTACATCTCTTCTACAGGTCGGTTGTTCATCCAAACACATCTAGAGCTCACACATTTGTAGAAGCATTCCTATCATGTGGCGGGATAGAAACTCTTCTCGTTCTTCTCCAAAGAGAGGCTAAAGCAGGAGAAATTGTTGTCCATGAATCAGTTTCGAATTTTCTAGACTTCAAAAAAATGAAACTGATGCTAGCTTTGAGATCATGAAAACATGCCAGGATGATGAAGGGTCAGATTTAAAAAGTGAATCCATTATACAACAATGATCAAGGTTCTGAATTTGTTAATAGTGGCAGCAACTTTGGTCCCGGTTCTCCTGATCTGAATATTGAAAGAACGACGTCCAACTCTGAAATTCCTCATATTAGGAATTTGGGAGGCATTAGTCTTTCAGTCAGCGCTGGCAGTGCTAGAAAAATGTTTATAATTTTGATAAAAGTGATGGCATAGTTGTTGGGATCATTGGTCTCTTAGGTGCTTTAGTAGTTTCTAGGAATTTGAAGTTTGGCTCTGATGCTGTTCCTGAAGCAACAAGCAACCTTATGGGTGTTGGATTGAATGACGGATGTGGTGCAATGTTTGATTATAAGGTTTCTCTTCTTCTTTTTTCCTTACAGAAGGCTTTCCAAGCTGCACCCAACAGGCTAATGACTGACAATGTTTATACGACTTCATTGTCTGCTTCAATAAATGCTTCTTCAAGAGAGAATGAGATGAACCTCCATGATTCAGGTCATCGCTTTGAGCATTCGCAACTTTTGTTGGTGCTTTTGCGTTCCCTTCCATTTGCACCTAGGCCTCTTCAGATTAAAGCATTACAGGATCTTCTATTTTTGACTTGCAGTCATCCAGAAAACAGAGGCAGGTTAACAAATATGGAAGAATGGCCTGAATGGATTCTCGAGATTATGATTTCAAACTATGAGTTGGGTTCAAGCAAACCATCTGACGTGACAAGCCTAGGAGACATAGAGGACCTTTTACATAACTTCCTTATCAAGGTTCTAGAGCATTCAATGCGTCAAAAGGAAGGATGGAAGGATATTGAAGCAACAATTCATTATGCAGACTGGCTCTCGATTATTGGTGGATCTAGCATAGGAGAAGCTGGCCACCATGTCATCATCAATCGGAACTGGATGGGATAAAATTGTTCCCAATGGAAATGAGAAAATACGCGTTGGTGACAATGGTTTCCGCGACATTAATGGAAAACCACATTCAGAAAATAACTTCTGAAAGCAGCATACTGGTTCCGCCACTTACTTGCAAGCGTAGGTTTATTCCGTTTTGTTATAAGCCGTGCCTACACGTCCAAGCTGAAACGAATTTGTATGAGCTATAAGAAGTCCACTTCATTTTTTAAATACAATCTTCAAAATGAGCTTCCAAGACGTCACATGAGCTGCAAGAGAAAATTCAAAAACAATCGACTTCACATGTAAACTACAAAGAAAATTCGAATACTTGACATGAGCTGCAAATGAAGTGAGTAAAATGACATCAAAATTTCATCAAGCAACAAAGTCCAAAATGACATGAAAAATGAACATGAGTCACACGCGGTTCACACAACACATCCAATTGAAACGCAACAGAATTTCCAAAATGGCAAATCGTTTTCACTCATTCTCATTTATAAATACAACACACAATTCACTCATTTTTCTCAAGCTTTCAAGCCAAGAAATCTCTGCTAATTTTCCTCTTCAATTCCTCACTTCGAAACCAAATTTTTCTCTTCTACTTTCTTCTTCAAATTCAACTCAAATTAAAACAGAATTTGAGGCAGAAATCATCCAGAAGAAGAAGAAGATTTGCACACTTGCTTGAGCCATTGAAGGTAGTTCGATGCTTTTTGTCATTTTTCGTCTCAATTTTTACTCCGTGTTCACAAGACCGAGACGGTTCAATGTCTTACAATGTTCAAGCAGCATTCTTGCCAGAAGGATTTTTTAGGAAGCCCGGACACCTACCAAACATCCCTGAAGGATGGAACAACGTGACGAAGAAGGCGGCGAAAGTGTAGAGGAAAATCTGGGAAGAGAACAAGGAGATCTCTAAAAAGAAATAGAGATTGTGTAGTGTTCTGCATTGTGATATTTTGGCATAATTTTCGAGCTTCGCCACTGCTGGATTGAGCTCCGGCGCGACAGAGAAAGTGCTAGCTCAAGCTTTGTTCTCTTTTATGTTCACATGAGCTACATGGAGAAGATGATGAAAGACATTTTTCTGATTCACCTCTTTTGTTTGTTTTTAAAACTTTCATTCTATCTTGGGCGTGTGGCTTTTTACCATCATCACCTCCTATTTTTCTTTCAAAACCTCCCCCTGTTATTTGTTTTTTCTAAATCTCTTTTAAATTTTTTTCTTAATTCAAATCAATTTTTTTGGTACTATTTTCCTTTATCTTTTATGACTTCTTTTTGAAATAGATTTTAATCTTTTTTTATTGATCTTTGTATCTTGAATTTTTTTTTGAAAAACTTAAAAAATCATTTGAAATTACTATATTCTTGATCCTATTTTGATTTCTTATATTGCTTTTTGAAAAACATGGTGCTCTTAACTTTATGATTATTCTCTTGAATTATTCTTAAACCTTGGACCTCTTGGATCATTTTTAGACCCTTGGACTTAGTATTAAAACTATTTTCCTGTGTTTGGAGTATTATGAATTTTTTCCTTTATTTAGTTTGCTCATTAGCTTATGCTTCAAATCAGATGGAATTCTTATTTCGCTATCTATGAAGTGTGCTGAAATTTGGTTAGATCCTTCTTATCTCTAACTTTTATTTTTCTTTCTAGGGTAGTCACTTCATCTTCTCCCCTTTTTAAATTTTTAAAATCTTCTCCCTTTTTCAGAAACCTTCTTGTTTTCGAACTTCAAACCGCTTTCACAATAAAACCTTGACTTTTGTCAAGTGATTTTAAAACTTTATTGTCTTTAATAAATGTCAATCAATGTTAATCATATTTTGACCAATTTCAAAAAGACTTAAAAAATACAAAAACTCATTCAAATCTTTTGTGCCTTTGTGCATTTTTCATTTTAAAAATTTTCATAAAGTTTAGACATGAGTACTTTCATAGTTGAGATATAATTCTCCTATTCCCTATAGTATTTAAGATGTTGACATTTTCCACTTAGATGTTGAGTGATAAACTTGTTGATTTTAATTCAAGAAAAATCCTCCATCTTTAGGTGATGCAAATGTTGTCTTATGCTTGTGGGCGACTAGTCGTAGTTTTCTCCTTAAAATCACGACTTGTATTTTCATTTAAAATCAATCAAAACAAACAAACTTTTGTTATTTGTACCATGAACTACGAGGTTTTGATCCAATATTGCACTTTGTGGGTACGTAGGCATGAGGCGATAAGTCTCTCCAAACACAAAAATCTTAAAAATAATTCTCTTCCCACCTCCCCAATCTCCTTTCAAGCAAACCTTTTTCAAACCAAAAAGCGTAGATACTTCAAAGGGCTCCTATAGAGTAGTATAGACGTTTTAGGTGCTAACACCTTTTTATTGGTAACCAACCCCCTTACCTATTCTCTGTTTGTTCTTGTTTTTAGAACTTGTATAGGTTTTGTTCGCTCTTTTTCCTTTCCTTTTGGATAAAATAAAAGTGCGGTGGCGACTCTTGCATTTTGAATTAAGTTAATCAATATCTTACACTCACAAATTTCCCCGCTACACTTTTCTTTTTCTTTTGAATTGCAAGAGTCCGATCGGTTGGGCTAAATGGTTGGGTGAGGACCACCTAACTTTGAGGGATCATATCCTCTCATTCGCTTATTCTATAAAATCATTTAATTCAATTTTTGAGATCAAACACGTATCTGCATCAGTTTATTACTTAGTGTATGCTTTAGGATGGTACTGATTGCTAGTATAAACTACTCAAGAGGCTACTACAAAAACTCAGAACTCAAGGTCTCGACATAATAATTATTCAAATCGATGCCACATACTTAGGGAGTTCGGGGTGTTAGGACGGTACCGATATTTCGAAACTTTCTCAAGTGTACCTAACATAGCCTAACAATGAGAAACAACCTATACTCTCAGAGTGTCATGCCATTGAATCAGAACAATTTTTTTTATTAGGGGTCAATTTTAAGGGAGTTTTCTAACAAAAAGGAAAAAGTAGCATGCAAAAGGACTCAACAGCGCACATATGACTCGATCACACAAACATAAAACAAATTAAAAGAAACTGACTAGAAAACATAAAAAAAGACATAAAAACAAAAGAAGTAAAATGGGGAAAAATAAAAATAAAGCAGTAAAACTCCTCCCCCGTACTTGAACAAACATTATCCTTAATGTTTCTGTACAAGGTGAAAGATGGAGTAGAAAACCTGATGTGAGGCTTAGTGATGTCGGCCTCGGCGATGTCCAAATGCTCTACCATATCCAGGTTGTGGCACATGCTGCATAAGCTCTCTCATATCCATCACCTTCATCCTCAACCCGTTCATCTGCTTAGTGAGGTCATCCATATCGTGCTTGATCCTATCAGCAAAATCAATCTGTTGTTGGCTGACCTGGTCAATGGCAACTCTCAGTTCCTCCTGTTGCCTCTGCATGCTCTGAAGGAGTAGATTATGCTCCACCTCCATATCATTCTGATGTCTAAGCTCGGACAGGATGTCATCAAGGGAGTTCCGGATGGAAATGTAGTTGTACTTCTCGCGGGGCTGGTATCCGGCTGAGGTACCTACAAAATGGTCAGAAAAAGCATGTGTGGTGTGTGCACGATTGCTAGGCTCGGGAGCATCAGCGGTGCGGGCACGAGTGCCAGTATGACGAGCATCTCGTCCCATAAGGTTATCATAATCTTGGTCAACCATCTCCTCATCATGATCAGGGGCCTCAGCATTAAAGATCCAGTTAGTACTAACACGCATGTTAATGCGTATTGCGCAAGGTAAAGTAACACTCCTAAACTCTCGATTACTAATCATCAAATAATATATGCCGCCTGGTTTGTTCTTAATAAGGTGCATGGCGTGGTAGTAGTTAAAATCAACAAAGCGTGTTCTTAAGGCTCAAGAGTATCCAAATTGGTTTGTAAGTTTAACGCAAGGGATATAGAGGTAATCAACCCGCCAACACATATAGGACCTCATGTTCTACTGCTGGCAGAAGAGAGGCGGTGTCAGGTTAACTTTAGTCTCAGAAAGTGCGTAGTGAATAACGAAGAGATCCTTGGAATTCACATTCCCTGTGTTTGAAGGTGAGAAAATACTTAGAAGGGGGCTTGAATAAGTATGAAGATAAAACTTAGAAGTAAAAACTCAAGTATTTTTATCTTGGTTCGTTGAACTCAACTACTCCAGTCCACCCTATCTAGAGTGATTTGCCTTTCTCAAACAAGGACTTAATCCACTATTTAATCAACTGATTACACTAGTAAGCACTAAGAACAACTGTTCAAAGTCTTCTCAAGAACTATTGATCCCAACTGGATCTTCTTAAGGAACTATTACAATAAAATGTAAGATTAATACAAGTGTATGAATGCTTCTAACAAGCTTTATCACAACAGTTATTTTTCACTTAATGTTAAGAACAAAAGAATAAACTCAGCAATAAGAATATTTTATGAGAGCTTGTAAGAGTTTCTATCAAAGATTCGTTTTTTGTTCATGTCTTGAAGAAGATCATGAAGACTTGCTTTTATATGCACAGTAGTCCACAAAGTCTTGACGTTGGAGGCTGTGTACTGAAAAGGCCTAAACCTTTTTGTCTTTACATCACATGACCTTTCCTGGAAGTAGAATGCACAGAGAAATGCTTTTGGTCTGTGTTCTAGTGTCAAGCATGAAAGAGGAAAGAGTCGTTGAGCCAAATCAAAAGATATTACTTTGAATTCTTCTTCAACAAGTATTTCTTTTCAGCAAGGTAACCATCAGATTTTGCTGAATCAGAGTCTTGGATACCCATCAGATTTTGCTGAATCAGAGTAATGCAGTAAGTGTGCTTTAGCGTGTAGTTCTATCAGAGTAGAGTTTTATGAATCAGATCCACAATACATACAGTGTGTAGTACTCTCAGAGTCTTCTGAAAAACTGTGCTTCTTAACTCTCATACAAAGTTCTTCAATGCTTTAGAGTCTTCAGATCTTATTAGAGTCTT